TAGGAATGAGCCACTGCACCTAGCCCTTAAATGTTAAATTAAGCTGAATTGTTAGCTAAAAAAATTAAACCAAACCCTTGTTAGTCAGGTGTGGTGGTATGCACCTGTAATCCCAGCTACTCAGGAGGCTGAGGCAGGAGAATGGCTTGAACCTGGGAGGTGAAGTTTGTGACAAGCCAAGATCATACCACTGCGCTCCAGCCTGGGCAACAAAATGGCACCCCCTCTCAAAAAAAAAAAAAAAAAAAAAAAAAACACTATAGACAAAACCTTGTTTCACCACCAGTTAGAAGGCAACAGAAAAATATGTAAGAAATTAGTTAACATGCAGTCCCAGCGCACTGCATTAGATAATTCTGCTACTAATTACCTATGTAGTTGGATTAGATTAGATGCTGAGCCTTGGTTTCTTCATCTATAAAACAAAGGATAATTATCACATACAGTACTTAAGGAGTTACCCAATAAAATTTTGTGATTGTAGGCAGAGAAAAGGAAATTGCCTCTCTGTTAAATGGAAAAGAATAAAAGTAGAACAGGCTGGGCGTGGTGGCTCACACCAGTAATCCCAGCACTTTGGGAGGCTGAGGCAGGAAGATCACAAGGTCAGGAGATTGAGACCATCCTGGCTAACATGATAAAACCCCGTCACTACTAAAAATACAAAAATTAGCCAGGTGTGGTGGCTCGTGCCTGTAGTCTCAGCTACTTGGGAAGCTGACGCAAGAGAATCCCCTGAACCTGGGAGGTGGAGGTTGCAGTGAGCTGAGATCATACCACTGCACTCCAGCATGGGCGACAGACTCTGTCTCAAAAAAAAAAAAAAAAGAAAAAGAAAAAAAGAAAAAAAGCAGAACAAAAAATTTACATAGGCCCAGGGGGCAGCCCTCAAGTTTATTCCTCTGTACTTCAGAGGATGCAAACAGCCCACAACACCGTGTGTAATAGAAATTAAGTGGATTACATTTCATTGTATTTTTTTTTTGTCTCTTGCAGGATGAAATCTTTGACATGGTAAAACCAAAGGATCCTTTGAAAATCTCTCTTCAGGATTTAATCAACAGTAATCAAGGAGACACAGTTACCACTATTCTAATTGATTTGAATGGCTTCTGGACTTATGAAAACAGAGAAGCTCTTGTTGCAAATGACAGTGAAAACTCTGCAGACCTTGATGATACATGATCTCTGAAAGACTAGATTGTCTTCAGTAAGAGATATTTGAATGCTGCGTGTAAAGCCTTTAAAGCAAAATCCTTAGAAATGGTCAAAATAAAACACTTATGTATGTCTAGAGAACACAGCAAATGTTTGGGTTGCTGGAATTTTGGTTGCAATAGTTTAGAAGCAATAGGATCACATATTGCTTGTTAGGAGCGGGGTAAGTTCTGGTTCCTTTTAGCTCAAAGGATTTGCTGTAGGTAGATGATATTCAGTTTAAATCTGTATAATCTTCAGAGATGAAGTTTCCATGGAATTTTTCTGACATTAGTCATTCAGAATGTGAATATTTGAACGACAGTGCATATATATATACACACACATATATATATAATCTCAAAGATTACAGACTTTCTCATTCATTCGAGTGGAGCCATTTCATTTCTGAGTTAGGATTAGGACTTTTTTTGAGAGGGTTTAAGCGATTCTCCTGCCTCAGCCTCCTTGAGTAGCTGGGATTATAGGTGCCCGCCACCATGTCTAAGTTTCGTATTTTTTTTTTTTTTTTAAAGACATGGGGTTTCACCATGTTGGTCAGGCTGGTCTTGAACTCCCGACCTCAGGTGATCTGCCCACCTTGGCCTCCAGAGTGCTTGGATTACAGGCGTGAGCCACCATGCCCAGCGTAAATTTCGTATTTTAATAGAGACAAAGTTTCATCATGTTGGCCAGGCTGGTCTCGAACTCCTGACCTCAAGTGATCCACCCATATCCCAAAGTGCTGGAATTACAGCCATGAGCCACCGCACCCAGTCTTTTTGGTTTTTTCGGTTTTATTTTTGAGACAGTCTCCCTCTGTTGCCCAGGCTGGGATGCAGTGGTACAATCTCTGCTCACTGCAACCTCCACCTCCCGTTTCCAGTTGATTCTATTGCCTCAGCCTCCTGAGTAGCTGGGACGTGAGGCGTGGTGCACTACCATGCCCGGCTGTTTTTTGTATTTTTAGTAGAGGTGAGGTTTCGCCATGTTGGCCACACTGGTCTCAACCTCCTGACCTCAGGTGATCCACCCACCTTGGCCTCCCAAAGTGCTGGGATTGTAGGCATGAGCCACTGCACCCAGCCTTGTTCTTTAATAGCATGTTTTAATAAAATGTATTGAAACTAATATTTTACTTTCATGAAAATCATTGGTATAAAAAATTTGTCTAGTTTTATTAACCAATACCAGAGTTACATTTTACAAAACTTAATTCCAAGCCTGGGCAAAATGGCAAAACCAAGTCTCTACAAGAAATAAACAACATTAGTTGGGCATGGTGGTATGAGCCTGTAGTCCCAGATCCTTGGGAGATTGAGGGGGGAGGACTGCTTAAGGCCAGGAAGTTGAGGCTCGAGTGAGCTATGATTGTACCATTGCACTCCAGCTTGGGCAACAGAGTAAGACCCTGTCTCGAACCAAAAAACAAACTTAAAGAATTTTTGTTAAAGAATTTGTGTTAATTCAGGGTAAAGACTTCAGTTATACATTATATTTCATTTTTATGAGATGCTAAAAGATTAGAAGAAGGTAAACTCATGAACTGTGATCCAGAAGGAACTGGATTTTTTTTTTTTTTTTTGAGAGTCTTGCTCTGTTGCCAAGGCTGGAGTGCAATGGCACAATCTTGGCTCACTCGAACCTCTGCCTCCCAGGCTCAAGCAATTCTCCTGCCTCAGCCTCCCAAGCAGCTCGGATTACAGGCACCTGTACCGTGCCTGGCTAAAATTTTTGTATTTTTAGTAGAGATGAGGTTTCACCATGTTGGCCAGGCTGGTCTAACTCCTGACCTCATGATCCGCCCACCTCAGCCTCCCAAAGTGCTGGGACTACAGGCATGAGCCACCACACCTGGCTGGAACTGGAAGTAGGAAAAAGTGAGTGAAAGAGGCTTAAAATAAGACAAACCATTGAATACATTTATGGGAAATTTTATAGTTTGCATAAACAAAGTATAAACTTAAGGCACAGTGATTAACTGTATTTATAAACATTATCAAGTAGCCACTATTGGACAAGTACCAAAAGTAAAATTCAAGAAACAAAACATAGGTCACTACTTCCTTTTACTACAATCGTAACATTTTCTGGGTAAACTCTTTAGATGCTAATACCTCTAGGGAGAGAGGATTCAGATCACTTTTAGACACACCTACCTTCACTTGATAACCAAGTAAATATGTGAGTAAGGTACTATCTTGAATGAAGTGAAAAACTAGAAGGAAGAGGTCAGGTTAGCATGTTTTAGAGCTACTGGTAAACTATAATTCATGGGACATTATATAATCAAAAGATTAATCTTTGAGATGGAGTTTTGCTCGTCGCCCAGGCTGGAGTGCAATGGCGTGATCTCGTCTCACCGCAACCTCTGCCTCCCAGGTTCAAGTGATTCTCCTGCCTCAGCTTCCCTAGTAGCTGGAATTACAGGCATGTGCCACCACACCCAGCTAATTGGTATTTTTAGTAGAAACAGGGTTTCTCCATGTGGATCAAGCTGGTCTCAAACTCCCAACCTCAGGTGATCCGCCCACCTCAGCCTCCCAAAGTGCTGGTATTACAGGCGTGAGCTACTGCACCTGGCCAAGATTAATCTTTTAAGCACCAAGTTATAAACGGTTTACCCCCATGAATAAAAAGATTACCATCACTTACTATGAACCACCATTCCATGAAACCATGTAGCTGAGCACTCCTAATGAAAAGTTTAATTATCCTTCCTAATTTCTTCAACCTGTAGTTGAATAACTCAGTTCATGTTCATTGACACAGATTTCTATTACAGACCCAAATAAAGTATTGACCTTACTTTCTTTGGCCCTATATTTTAGATTGATATAAGACTGAAAACTTAATGCTGTTTAGAAGGCTATTAACATAACCATTAATGTCTAAAAGTTTTAAGTTTCTGAAAAAGGCTTTTAAGATAAAAATTTATGAAACAATCCACACATTCTTCCTAACCCACATTTAATTATAAATCAGTGTTATGCTGATAGAAGGTTCTATACACACATTTAGAAGTACTTTTTTTTTTCTCAAGACAGTCTCCCTCTGTTGCCCAGGCTGGAGTGCAATGGCACGATCTCAACTCACTGCAGCCTCCACCTCCCTGTTCAAGTGATTCTCGTGTCTCAGTCTCCTGAGCAGCTGGGATTACAGATATGCACCACCACGCCTGGCTAATTTTTGTAGAGACGGCATTTCACCATGTTGGCCAGGCTGGTCTCAAACTCCTGACTTCAACTAATCTGCCCGCCTTGGCCTCTCAAAGTGCTGGATTACAGGCGTGAACATTGCGCCCAGCCATATTTAGGAATATTTTCAAAATAAGCTTTACAATATATATCTTTATGAGGCTTACAAATAAGCAAGTAGGTAGAGGAGTGGCCAAGTACGTTCAAGTAAACTATCCAGTCTTTACTGTTGCTATCATTATCATCATTGCACCTCATACAATATCTATTAGCTCCTGATGGATTAAATCTATACTTGTCCCACAATCCCCAACTCCACCAAAACCACTTTTCTGTAGGATTAACGCTGAATGGATAATATAACCAGGATGCTACATGGATAATCACTAGGTATTACCATTTGAATACAATAACATTAATAAATCTATTCCGTAAGTAGTGGTAGTGTTTTTAACATTATGTTTAAAGCTAGTTATTTGAGTCCTGAAAAAGAATACAAGATTAAGTGGCTTGCACTAAAAAATGAAAGCCTATCTTAATATCTGGTGTTATAAATGCAGACTATTCCATAAAACAGTTTTTCTCAATGAAAGAAAATTCAAAGTGTTTCCATCTTGCTCCTTTTATTATATGGTGAAGCATCCTTAGTGTGAAATTAATGGTTAGATATAAAAATGCACAGCATAACATGAGAAAATCTAGGAGAAAATATCATCATTTCAATCTGAAACTGGGGGATTATCAATTCCAATTAGACTTAATCAGCAACTTACCTTTTTTTAAAAAAAAAAAAACAAATGCACAAATGACAGGCTTGATAATTTAACTCTTCTTAACAATTAAGGCTCTAAGACGTCCTTAACTTTTTAAAAGATCATTTTCAAACAAAAGCACTAATTCTACGCACAGTAAAAACAGTACAAATATCTGAATTTCAGATCTGGCTTTGGCTAGATAGAGCCTAAATATGAAGAAACATTTTCCCTTTCCAGATATTTTAATAATTTAAAATATAAATAATTGTATTAAGTCCCACTGAATAAAGAATGTGAAAGTTTCTGGTATTAAGAAAAAAAGTTTGAAGCTTGATAGTCATTTCATTTTATGGTGGGACAGAGACTGGATTTTGCTTGCTTTCCATAATTACTTCACTGTCTCCCTCCATTTCAAAATTGAGATTCACAAATGAGCTGGATACCACTGTCTCTGGTTGATCTGTCTGAACAGTGGAATCAGTCTGCAATTTATTCTGTTGGTATTGTCTTTCTGCTTCTTCAGACATCCTGTTTTCTTCTTCTTCTTCTTCTTCCTAAAAAAGAGGAAACATTAAGAATAGTTGAAATATGAATGTATATAGTGCTGTTTCCCCGCCGTCAGCTTTTGTTAAAAAAAAAAAAAAACAAAACATTAGTAACACGTTCAATTCAGTTTGGTCCAATTAAGACATACTATCCCTTCTTCTGCCTCAAAATGAAATAACTATAGTAAAACATTTTAAGAAAAGTAGTAGTTGCTGTTGTTGTTTTGAGACATAAGTCTCTCTCTGTCACCCAGGCTGGAGTGCAGTGGCTCACTGCAACCTCCACCTCCCAGGCTCAAGCAATTCTCCTGCTTCACCACACCCAGCTAAGTTGGCCAGGGTGGTCTCAAACTCCTGACCCTCAAGTGATCTGCCCACTTCGGCCTCCCAAAGTGTTGAAATTACAGGTGTGAGCCACCGTACCCAACCTGAAAGTGGTTATTTTTTAAAACAGGGTCCAGCACTACGTCACTCAGGTGAGACCTGAATTAATTTTGACAAGGACTATATTTCTTTCATTTTAAGTCTAAGCTAAATAAAAAGTTAGCTTCAACTGTATCACTTCAATTGTAGGGTGCCAGCCTATTCAACTGAATAGGCTGGTTCATTTACTAAATGATATACAGCGTAGTTTTCCCATAAGCAACCAATTATAGAGATAAGGCAGTGCCTACCCCTAAGAAGTTTACAATTTAGTAGGGAAGTTAAGACATGTAAAAATCCTATTAAGACGGATGCAGAGATTTTGGGTAAATAATTTCTAGTTGCACAACTACTAAATTCATTGGGGAAGGTGGCATTTGTATTGGACCCTGCAGAACGAGTAGTCAGCACACAGTGAGTAACCCCAGAAGATTACTCTGGGGTTTGCTTGACAATAGAGTGACCATTTAGGAGGTGAGTATAATAGTCCAGATGAGGTAATGAGGCTCTAAGTAAGGCTTACAGTGTTAAGAAATATTTATTTGTTCATAAAACATGTTTGAAACCATACAACAAATGTTGTCAGCTAACCTTTCCAGCCTCATGTTCAGCCAGTCCCACATTGTACCTTATGCTCCAGTGACAAGAAACTATTATATTTTTGCCATTTCCTCAACCACACAATGTACCTTCATGCCTCTACATTCTAGCTTTACCTGAATTGATGCCCTCTAATTGCTTAAAGAATAACAGATTCCAATATTTGTTGTGCTCACTGATATACACTAGGTGCTGTTTTAAACATTTTATATAATGTATTTAATCTGTAGAGCAGCCCTGGAGCATGGATGCTGCAATTCTCCTCATTACAAAGATGAGGAGATTGAAGCTTATAGAGGGGTTAAGTGTTTTGTCCGAGGTTACAAAGTTTTAAGTGGCACAACAGATTTTGAATTCAAGCCCTTTGGTTTTTAAGCCCATGCTCTTAAGCACTAAAGGTTTTTTATTTTTATTATTATTATTTTTTTTAGAGATGGGGTTTCACCATGTTGGCCAGGCTGGTCTTGAACTCCTGACCTCAGGTGATCCAACCACCTCAGCCTCCCAAAGTGCTAGGATTACAGGTTTTTTTATTAAGACTAAATTCACTTCACTCTCACCTTAAGACTGCACTACTTTTAAACTGTCCTCAAATTTTTACATATTAACACCTATCACATACACATTTCTCATATTAAAATTTTTTTTTTTTTTTTTGAGACAAGAGCCTTTCTCTGTCACCCAGGCTACAGTGCAGTGCCGTGATCTCAGCTCACTACAACCTCTGCCTCCCAGGTTCAAGCAATTCTCCTGCCTCAGCCTCCCAAGTAGCTGGAATTACAGGTGCCCACCACCACGCCCAGCTATTTTTTGTATTTTTGATAGAGACAGGGTTTCACCATCTTGGCCAGGCTGGTCTTGAACTCCTGACTTCATGATCCACCTGCCTCAGCCTCCCAAAGTGCTAGGATTATAGGCACCCAGCCTCTCATACTTAAAATTTTATGTGTCAAACCCACTCCACTTTTCCTACATCCAGTCCATGTGCTCTAAGTATCTTGTTTCTTCATCTTAGAATGATAATTCAAAGAGAGGTGTGTGAAGATTAAAATAATGTATGTAAGGCATCTCACATAGCACTAAGACAATGAAATCTAGTATAGTTTTGCACCCAGATCATAGGGAACTTCTAGTTCTAAAGAATTCCAAAATGTGTGTTTTTTAGATAATATATTAGGCTGGGCGTGGTGGCTCACACCTGTAATCCTAGCACTTTGGGAGGCCGAGGTGGGCAGATCATCTGAGGTCAGGAGTTCAAGACCAGCCTGGCTAACATGGTGAAACCCCATTTCTACTAAAAATACAAAAAATTAGCTGAGCATGGTGGTGTGTGCCTGTAATTCCAGCTACTCAGGAGGCCGAGGCAGGAGAATCACTTGAACCCAGGGGGCGGAGGTTGCAGTAAGCCAAGATCCTGCCATTGCACTCCAGCACTCCAGCTTGGGCAATAAGAGTGAAACTCTGTCTCAAAAAAAAAAAAAAAGAAAAGAAAATACATATGCTCATTATGCAACCCATGAAGTCCACGCAAACCAAACTGAATCAAGAAAATGTAAAAAGGAGACATACCTCCTTCTTCATCCGGTAATATTCATCAATGGCATATTGGTACTTTGGGGTGCTGATACCCAAAACAGATGCAATCTTCTCTCCAAGGAAGTCACACACTGAAGATACAAAAGTTAAAAGACAAATAATTCTGTAAACATTTCTTGAGCACTTTCTATGTGTAAGACACTGTAGGAATACAAGAGTTACTGTTCCTGCTCTTAAGGAGACTATAAAAACCCAATATATCTCTCTTCTATATAAATTCCCTGATTTCTTTAAGAAGTATTGGTGGCTTCAGAGCTCCCAACAAGTCTTTTCCTGTCTGTATCAGAACACTTATCACTAGGAATATCTGTTATATGTCTATTTCTTTAAGAAAAATGTATATGCTGGCCATGGTGGCTGATGCCTATAATCCCAGTACTTTGGGAGGCCAAGACAGGCAGATTACACGAGGTCAGCAGTTCAAGACCAGCTTGGCCAACATGGTGAAACCTCATCTCTACTGAAAATACAAAAATTAGCTCGGCATGGTGGCAGGTGCCTGTAATCCCAGCTACTCATGAGGCTGAGGCAGGATGAATAGCTTGAAACTGGGGGGCTGAGGTTGAAGTGAGCCGAGATCACACCACTGCACTCCAGCCTTTGTGAAAGAGCGAGACTCTGTCTCAAAAAAGAAAAATGTATACTCAGAAAGATGGGATATTACTGAGCTGGAGGAGGGGAATGGCTTGTAGTATAACACTCACTGAGTGCCTACCATGTGCCAGGCACTGTGAAAGGTTAGGCAGAGAGAGTTAAAGAACTTACCCAAACTGATAAAGCAGATCCAAAGTTCAAAGCTAGGTCTGAATCTAAAGCTCATGGTCTTTCCATTACACCAACCTGTCTAGCATATAGTGAGTGCTCAGTAAATGTTTGTTGAATCAATTACTATTCACAATTAGCCCTAATAAAAAGCAGAAAGTGATAAAAAGCTATGAGGGAGTTAAAAACGGAAGCAGAAGAAAGCTTTATAATTTAAAACTTATATTTTAAATTAGCATTAGGTTATAAGTTGATAATTCATTTCCTTCAAATATGACTTGGTCATATCTCAATTTAAGAAATATTAATGAAATAGAAATATAAATTATAATACAGGCTTTAGAATAAGCAGTGAGACAGAAATGAGAATTACATCAATTAGAAACCAAAGTAGCAAAATAGCTGTTAAAGGGTTTAAGAACTTGAAAACCATATCTAAACTAACATAGTCATTTTTCATTCCTTAAAAAAAAAATCCTGCAACCTGAAGAATGTTCTAATGTGAATACAAGTTAGGTTACTATCTCCCAATGCTAGCTACCTCCTGAGGACAGCAATTAACTCCCTCATGTTTCTCCTTCAGTTTGGAAACATCCCATTTAGCCAAGCTCCTGTTGTTGAAGCATATTACAGCAATTAAATAATATTCAAGCAGAAAAGCAATACCTGAGAGGGTTGATGTAGCAGCCCGAAGCATGTAAAACCATAAGTAGGGGCCCCAGGTAAGTTTTGTCTGCAACAATAAATCAGGTTAGCAACATTCATACCTAAATTCATTCCATATATTTGGGCCAGAATGAAGTAGTCAAATACTTGGTAGGCACCGAGAATATTCTATAGGCAGTACTACAAACAGACTGCAATCCAATCAACAATTTAAAATCTTTTGAGTTAAAATTCTGCAAAGATATTTTACATTCACTCATTTAACTACCACCATCTGAAGCCCATAGAAGAACCAAAAAAAAAAGATGCAACCGCTGAAATGGAGTTGGTAATTGCAGTCTGGATTATTTTATGAGTTGATAATCCAGAGTCTTCCATTCTCCTGTCTTCCTGCGTTTTTGTCTCAACTACTCATAAACACAACACCAGATAGGGTGTCCAGTCAGTAGAAAGAAACTTAAGGACACCATCTGACATACTTGTGCTACAGCGGGGAAATTAAGGTTCAGAGAAATTAAGCAGGATATGTAAGGGCACATCAAATGAGCTTTTAATGGTGGCAAAATAAGGGACAAATAAGTGGCAAGCTAAGTTTTGTCTGTTTCCTTTAGTCTAAAAAAAAAAAAGGACTATACCATAGAACCCAAAACAAGCTCAGTGCATATTTGGTAAACCAGGGCCACTGGCAGAATGCAATCTATAATGCACACCTCCATAGTTAACCTTGGTTCTGTAATTCCACATGAATTTTGTGAAGCTTGCCAAACAGATGTTATCTGCCTCTAGATAAAGCTAGTGATAAAAGCATACTTCATTGTACCAAAACTTTTGTTTATCAAAAGAAAACATAGTATAAAGCCTTGAATGAATCAAACGCATTAATAATTGTTTGTTTTTTGTGTTTTTAAGACAGAGTCTCACTCTGTCACCCAGACTAGAGTACAGTGGCTCGATCTCGGGTCACTGCAACCTCTGACTCCTGGGTTCATGCGATTCTCGTGCCTCAGTGACCCAAGTAGCTGGGATTACAGATGTGCATGCATCAGTTGCACTAATTTTTGTATTTTTAGTATAGATGAGGTTTCGCCATGTTAGCCAAGCTGGTCCCAAACTCCGGGCCCCATGTGATTCACCCACCTCAGCCTCCCAAAGTGCCAGGATTACAGGGGTGAGCCACAGCTCCTGGGCAATAATTGTTTTAATATTGCTTCCAAGGAGGGGGGAAAGAGAAAAACTTGTCCATCATCTTGTTACATATACTAATGATGATAAGGACATTAAAAAGGCAAACACAAGAATATCTGTTAAGACTGAGTAGACAGGTGAAAACAGAAATCAACATATAACACAGCAGTGCCATAAAAAGTATATATGCCAATTTCTGTAATACTGTGCCTGAGAAGGCAAGCAAGGCAGCTCCATTGTCTCTACTTACTTAAGAATCAATGTCCAAGCAAACAGATTCAACCAAGAAAATCCTATATATTACTGATTCCCTGGATAAAATCCACTATATATTCTACATTCAGAGCAGAAGGGCCTTTTACGTGGGACAAAGGTTACTTCAGGACCTCCATTTAAGATGCTCTGATCTTATGGTTTACAGCAAATGGAAACAGTGGCCGAAGTATAAGGAAAGGAACCAATTTCGATCACACATAATATGTGATAAGGCCAAGAAACTATTTAGAAAAGGACTAGGCATGCTTTGGAGGAAAGTATGCAGTTCAGCAACACAGGTTTAAACTGTGTGGATCAACTTACTCATGTATTTTTTTTTTCAATAAATACATTAAAATTGTTTTGAAAATTTGTGACAATTTTTGAAAACAGATGAACCTATAGCCTAGAAATTTTTTTTTTTTTTTTTTTTTTTTTTGGTAGAGTTTTTCTTTTTGTTCCCCGGCTGGGGTGCAATTGCGCAATCCCGGCTCACCCCCACCTCTGCCTCCCGGGGTTCGGCCTT